TCAAATTCCACAGAGCTTTCCACCACCCAACATTTCGCGAAGACGAAGTTTCTGCGAGGCCAGAGGATTGTTGCTTGAGCAAATGATACCCGCTCTTAACAGAGTACTCGCCGTTCTTGGAAAAGTACCAAATGATACGATCAGGGGTGGTGATGGCTCGACTAAGGGGCACAGAAATAATTTTAAGCGAGTCAATTGGCTGGAAAACTCGATTTATCAATTCATGGTTCCAGTCTCCATCACTTCCGAATAGTTAGCAGACTAGATCAATGCATGACGGGAAAGGGGAAATAGGTCGAAACCCCTGAAAATGAGGGATCCATGGGTCCGAAAAAGCCCTGTGATTCTGGAAATGGCAGTTTTAACAGCCAGCCGTTTAGTAGCACCGTCGGCTGAGCGTCATTCGGACTTTCCCAGACAACTGTGGGCTCGGCGCTACAATATCCCCAAAACCAAATGACGCTCGTGACTTGGCGTTTGAGCCCCTTGCCCATAAGATAAATAAAAGAGGAAGTGAAGAGTCGGGAAAGTATGCGATGGCAATACCAGCCGTGCCATTGAGATGTGTACCACCGCCGGTTAGTTTTGAAAATGACCCGAAAAATTCCGTGCCATATGGGAAAAATGATGATGGTGGGAAAAAAGGAACTAAAGAGAACGAGAATAATGCGTGTTCACTTGACGAGTTGTGGAAGCAGGACTCGGACAAATTAGCAGCAGTTGTTGCGGAGGCTAAAAGATACTTCGATGCCTTTGATGTTAAGTGTTCCGAGAAATCACCGGCCTTGCACAGACGTTCGCCGATTGTGGAACCAAATCCTGAGTTTGTGGAACAAGAAAAAAGTGTGCACGGGAATTTTATAGAAAGCTTTTTTGTGAAAGAAACTTCTGAATTAAAAAACAAGTTGGAAGATTACGAGGATGAAGTTTGCATTTTATCACCCAAGGAGTGGAGAGAATCGCGTGTTCGTGAAAAGGTGAACTTTGGTGGAATCCGTGAAGGCATTTCTAGTTGTGAGCCAATGGACACTAAAAGTGTGGAGGAAAAGAAGGATCACATTTCAACAAAATTGGATGAATGTGCGCTTTTCGAAGATAACGATCCTAAATACTGCGGCGGCGGAAACCAGGAAGAATTAATCAATTTGAACATTGTGAAACGTGAGGAACCTAAGGGGCTCATGGTGCGGGAGGCTTTGAGGTTGTTTGAAAAGAATTATAATGAACTCATGAAGGAGCGCAAAATTGAGCCAAAAGCGGGAAGGAAAAATGCTTACATCCATCTCGAGGCCGCAAATTGCCTTAAGATAGACGGTAAGTACATTTCTCTTGAGAATCCCTTTGGCCATGTGCCGGGCATCAAAATCGGTGATGAATTTCAATTTAGGTGCCGCCTTGCAATGATTGGTCTTCACCGTAATTAGTATCCGGAATAGATCATGTGATTCTCAATGGGAAGAAATACGCAAATAGTGTTGTGGATTCGGGCCGTTATAAGAATACGTCGAAAACAAATGATGTCTTGATTTACTCGGGCCAGGGTGGGACTGTAAAGACCATCGATAGCTCGGTTGATCAAAAGCTTGAGAGGGGGAATCTGGCGTTGATGAATAGAAAGGAGATGAAAAATCCCATTAGAGTCACTTATAAAAGAAAGAGTCACGCGTGCCCTGAGCGCGGGGTTGTGTATGTTTATGACGGGCTCTACATCATAAATAATGTGTGGCAAGAGAAGGATCAAACGGGCAAGCTCGTGTTTCGGTTCGAATTGCACCGATTGCCCGGCCAACTGAGGCCTCACCAACAAGACAAGTCAAAAATGGAGGTTTGCATGGTTGATGATATTTCAGGAGGAAAAGAGAAAATGCCGATACGGGCGGTGAACAACGTGGATGACGTTAGGCTCCTCCCGAAGTTCGTGTACATCACCCGCATGGTGTATCCCGATTGGTTCAAGAAAGTTGAGCCCTTAGGTTGTGATTGCGTGAATGGATGCTTGGATTCCCACCAATGCCCTTGCCTTGTGAAAAATGGGGGCGAAATCCCGTACAACGAAAACGGGTCTATTTTACGGAGAAAGCGTAGGGTTCACGAGTCTGGGCCCTTGTGCAAGTGCCCTCCCACTTGCATGAACCGAGTGAGCCAACACGGCCCGCGTTATCGGCTGGAGATTTTCAAGACCGAGCTACGTGGTTGGGGCGTGCGGTCGCGTGATCTCATCCCGTCGGGTGGTTTTGTGTGTGAGTATTTGGGGGAGTTTTTACGGGAAAAAGAGGCCGACTTGAGAGTGGGTGGAGACGAGTATCTATTTGACATATATATTAGCCGTGGGGGGCGGGTGGATGGGTTTGCTATAGATGCGGGCGTTTATGGAAATGTTGGGAGGTTTATTAACCATGTTGCTCACCTAATATGTATGTGCAAGACGTTCTTTATGACCACGCGCAGGGGCGGAGCCAGGGGGTGGCTCACCCGGGCTCCAGCCCAGTCTAAATTTTTGTCTAATATAAATATGTAGTAGTAAAAAAAAATATTTTAACCCATGTTTTATTAATTTAATTCATGATATAATTATTTAGTTCGTATTCATTTAAAATAATTGATATTAAACCAAAATATTATACATATTTTTGGACATGATTCAAACTTTTCATATGTATTTTTATGTGGTTATAGCTTACTTTGTCATTTTTTCTTCTTTGTTTTTATTTTTTAATGTTTGATTTAATACACGATTAATTTATATTATTTATATTAGTTTATATATGAAATACATCAACTTGTTAACTTTTAAATAAATTATATTTGAATATGCGAAATAGATAATTTAAATTCATTAATTTGCATAGCAGATCAATGAAACGACATTTGGAATTTCACAATTTAAGCGAAATATCATTGAAGCCAAATTGAGCTGAGTACATCGTGTTCGAACTTGTGTTCGTCTAATAAATGAACATGTTTGGCTCGAAACATTTAATAAATTGAGTGTAATCAACTAAGCTCCGCTCGTTTGAACTAAGTTTTCATTTTATGTTTTATTATATGAATGAATCACGATTGATTTTTTACGAGTCGAACTGAGTTATACTCCCTACCAAATCGGTTCTAGCAGCGCAGGGTAAAAAATATTTCTGGCTACGCCCCTGACCACGCGGACAATAAAATGCCGCGAGTCATGTTTTTTGCGACCGAAAACATTTCCCCTCTTCAAGAGCTCACGTACGATTATAACTACAAGTTGGGGATGGTTTGTGATGCGAATGGGAATATTAAGACCAAGGTTTGCCATTGTGGTTCTAGCGACTGCCGTCGGAGGATGTACTAGCAATGGACGCCGGGTTCCTTTTCTTTTTTCCTTTTTTGAATCTTGCATTCCACCATTTAAGAGTCTTTACGAACATAGCCCTTGGGCTCGTTTGTGTTTTGTTTTTGATTGAGTTGTTTAAGGTTGTATTGGTTTATGTTTGAGAAATGATATGTTTGGTTTGAAGATTATTGTATCTGGCTTTATTATATGCAGATTGTGTTCTTTTTTTAGATTTTTGAACTGTTATGTTGCTTACCTTTGCTGGAAGATGAATGGTGTGAAAGTTTGTTTCCACATTTGTAAAAGCAAGTTCTTCTCTTCTTATTGGGAGTGTGTGTGTTCTCTAGTTCCAAAACCATTGCGCTTGATTTTTTTTTTGGGGTACAAGCTTGACATGTGATATTGAGCGTTTATAATTTCCTCTGGGACAAGCTTAGGTGAAATGATATGTGATATTGAGCCTATATATTTACTTTTTAGTATATTCAATTTATTATTGAATATTTATATTATGATGATATTTACATTAAACATTTGTGAGAATTAATCCTGAGATGTTATTTTGAAATCATTCAAATATTATGATAATTGTTGTAATCAACCATTCATTTTTATTATATGCAAATATACTTGTAATATTTTTTTTTAAAAAAATTATACCCAAATAGTTTACGTAACACACAACGCTATTTACGCTACGCAGTATAAAGACCAAAACGCGATGCATTGCGCTATACGCATTTTAAAACACTGGTCAGCAGGTAGGGTGGGGCTCCGGCCACTTGGCGTCTTCCGTCGATGAAGCTGGAGTTGTAGGACCGAGCCATTCCCTCTCTCCCTCGGTTCTCTGGTGTTGGGGTCAGGTGGGGTCCAGAGCACCCAAGTTTGACTAGTGGTGTTAGTTGAATTCGGGTCGTGATGGTGTGGGGAGTGGGTGTCGTCGTTCTCTCGGTTGGGGGTGGATCGTTTTGGGGCTCAGGTGCGGCTTCTGTATAAGCAGTTTCGATAGTTGTGCTTGGGCTCGGGATCTTCCTTAGATTGATTGTTCTCTGCTGGCCGAGCTCGCTTGTTAGATGGGGAAGGGCTTGATTTTATATTTTTGTTTATTTTATCTGTCCTTTTTATTTGTCTATGTTGTTTATGGTCATATTTTTAATTTGGGCCGTTGGCCCCTGCTAGCTTGACTGTGTGCGGGATTTACCTCGTTGGGGGTCGTTCCATATTAATATGTTGGAGGTCGTGGCGGTCATTCCACAGTAGTCTTTGTGTCTAGCATTGCTAGTCGAGTTCTAGGACTTGTCCTCTCAATTTTTCAATTTTCAGCTGTTGGATGTTGTATTCAGCTAGGGGATATGTACTCTGCACATTTTTGCGCTTCTGATTTATAATATCCTCTATTTTTTAGTCAAAAAAAAAGAGTTTTTAAATTTTTTTTCTATACAAATATATAATATGTATTAAAAAACTATGATGTTTTTTTAAGGTTTAATTACACTAAAATAAATTAATTTGTTAATTTTTTTAATATTTTCATTCAAATATATATTAAATAATAAAAAAAACTATGATTTTTTCTGAATTTTAATTATATTAATTATGGAAAATATTCAAAATATATAATAAATGTTATATTCATTTTTTAACCTTTAATTTATATTCAATTTTATTAAAGTTTTTTTTTTCGTAATCACTCTGAAAAATTATAATACATAAATATTATATAACATGTTTTCAATAATAATTTGATCCAACATTAAATATGAGAATATTAGTAAAATATTTATAGAACATTCATGCAAAACTTTGAATTAACTTGTAAACATTCTAAAAGTTTGATAATAAATTCAGACATTATTTCGCTTATTTAACAAATATGTAATACTTTTTATGTGTGTAAATTTTAATTTATCAAACATTCTAAAAGTTTTGTAATTAATTCAAACAATATATTGCTCATTTAACAAATATGTAA